AATTATTCCAAATGGTTTCCTCCATCCCAAAATAGAATATCCCAGCAGAAACTAAGAATGGTAAAACTAAGTGGCAGATGCTGATGGCAGGGTAACAGTTGATTTCAGTGAAATGGAGAATTGGGCATTGCATTTCTCAGCAGTTACTACTCTCCCTGAACTAGGTTCAACTTTAATTTCATTCCAGCTCCTTTAGGGAATGCAAAGCAAAGCTATGTCAGTGGATGAACTGCAGTCTGGCAGGGCAGAATCATGAAAAGCACTCCAAACACTCCTGAGAGTCTCTTTCCTCTTCTGGGAATCTACAGATATAATTAAGAGCAGCTCCATTTATCCCTCCTGCTAGGGCCACCTACAGCTATCAGATGAAATGATAGTATCTACTCAAATTGCCAGGCCTAGCAGCCACAACGTTCTTGTATCACGCAAGAGAAACACCTGCACCAGAATCAGCTGGTAGAAAAATGTCCAATCATAAGGTGAGAATCAGGGTCACTCTTGGCTACTTAGTCAGTCGGTCTAACTGAGCAGATTCACGTTATTTTGGTGGTTCCTATTTTCTAATAAGTGCTCAAAGACCTAAAATAGGACAGTCTTCGACTTCACCATCTTAGGAACAGTACTGCTCATCGGAGGAGTTACAGCCAAGGGAGATGTTTTCAGTCCAGCATTTTCAACGTGAAAGAGAGTTTCCATTTTGTACAAATTCATTCTGAGCCAGGTTCACTAACGGTGTGTTTAAGACTATCTGTTGACAGCCTGAAGGCTGATCTTCATTTTTATATAGGTGCAAGTGCTTTCAGTAATCATAATAAGTAAAACCTGTATCTGTATCTGGCTGTAACTTTGCTGTATCATACCTTTCTGAAGGAATTAAAAGAATAATGAAATCCAGTAGACAAGCATGTGCTATATTCCTTACAGCATTAGGGCACTTGGGTGAGTCCTTCCTGGTCAAACTGTGGGCTGTTCTGGTCTGAGCCTTTTGATCTGTATTTATAATCATGACCACAGAAGTCATCTCCCAGGTAAAAAAAGGTGACTGAAAGGTCACTGAAAGGCAACTAAGCACTAGAAGGAATAACCACTATTAAAATTATTCCTTTTACAAGCTATGGCAGCGTTTCTATCAGTTTTATTACTCAGCATTTTTTAATAATCCATGAACAATCAGATCCAAATAATAAATTAAAGCCATGTTTATGTAGTTTTAAATATCCGTTCTCCTGAAATACGCCTGGTCTCAAGCACATCAGCATCCTCTAATAATAAAATGCAACAGATTGTACACATAGATAAATATATTTCTATACGGGCAGGCACATGCTGTTTGAGGCAGGTGCCCTATATTTACGTCTAAGGAAAACGCCTGGGAGAATCTAAATTTAGGCAGTCCATATCAGCAGCGGATTCCGGGAAACGCTTCAGTGGCAGGACTGCTCTTTAACA